GGCCCGTCCTCACCCACGGCCTGAACGGGCCTCTGTGATGCCAGCAGACAACAGACAACAGCAAGCCTGGTGCCGTCTGGACAAGCGGTGTCACCGGCCAGAGGGGACCGTGGGCCCCAGCGTCCCCGCCACCCGTGCTTCAGGCCCGAGCGCGACCGGCCGTGCTGCACTCACCCCGGTCACACTGTAGCCTCGGAACACCCAGGACCGGTCCTCGTTGGTGGCGCAGCACAGGGCGGCGACCCCGTGGCCAACCGCGCAGATGGGCTCTGAAAGCAGTGGCAGGGGGGGCTGAGGTCCTGGAGGCTGGGGGCCTGGCCCTCTCCCAACACCCCCACCCCCCACGGCCGACCTCCTGGAGGCCGCTGCCCTGCCCCTGGAAACATGGCGAGCTGCTGCTTCCGGCTCAAACCTCAAGTTCCGGTGGCTGAGAAACAAGTACAAGGAGGCGTCGCGAGGGGGAGCAGGTCTATTTGCCAGGCCAGCGGCACTTGCACTCACTGCCCCCCTGGCCCTCTCAGGGCAAACGGCCTGTACCCTCCAGGCCCCACTCGCCCTCTGAGGGCAAATGTCTCGCGGCCCCACCGTCACCGCTGTCACCGCTGCCTGAGCGGCCGCCCACCTGAAAAAGCCCCTCCTGACTGCAGTGGGAAGGCGCCTGCCCTCCTTGCATCTCTCAGGGTTCCAGGCTGTGCCCCCGCCCTGCCAGCAACCGCCCTGGCTCCGGGCCTGCCACCCAGAGGCTGCCTGGCACAAGTGCGTTCCCACGGCTGAGGTGGCCGGGAACAATCGCTGCCTGTCCCGGTGGTTGGTGCTGGGGACAGGAGGCCCTTCTCACCGACAAAGGACACTGTGTGGAGCCTGGGTTTTTGTCGGCTGGTCCCTAATGAGCAGACATGTGCCTCTGGGCCCAAGGCAGGCCAGGGCGGCAGGCCAAGTCTCCAGAGCAGCCTTTCTCCAGCCCTGCCGGCCTCGGCCCCAGCCTGGACCCGGGGCTTTCCCACCAGGAACAAAGCCAGCATCCTGCCCTCCCCCCGCGGAGGGGCGCAGGGCGCACAGCCCCCAGCCCGAGGGGGCCAGGCAGAGGGTGCTGGCCAAAGGGCAGGGTTGGGAGTGCCCACCCTCGTGTGTGGGACAGCTGAGTACACTTGACCCTCACTGGCCAGATCCCGGGGCTCTACATCTGAAGTGATCTGACATTTCCAGCCCCAAGACCTGAACCCTGAAATCCACAGCTGCCGCGCCCACCCCCAGCACAGGCACCTTCCTGCCTCCCCCCCAAACACCAGGGTCACCTACTGCTCTCGGAGTGGAAGTGCCGCAGGATTCGGGCCAGAGACCCACTGCTGGCCAGGTCGGCCAGGGCCCCGGGGCAGCTGGGAATCAGGAGGGCATGGTACCGGGCACCTGGGGAGACCACAGGCCAGTCAGTCCTCTTGCTCCTGCCGCCAGACACCAACCTTTGTCCCTGTCCCTACCCCGGCCAAGGCTCCCACAGCCCATGGACCATTCCTGCCTCCCCGTCTCCACGTGCCGCCACCTCTCCCCGCAGAGGCAGCTGGGAACTCTGGGCCCAAGACGCAGGAGGGGGGCGGCCATAGACAGTCACAGCTCCTGGCAGCCAGCACTGGGAGCTCCAGGAGTAGAGTGAGGGAGCACTGTGGGGCCACAAACCCACCTGGAACCCCACACGCCCGACCCTCCAAGGTCTCGGGCCCTCACCGTCGATGGACTCGAGCTTGGCAGGGCTGGCATAGGCCTTGAGGCGGAAGTCCTGCACCCAGCGTGCATTGCTCTCACTCACGTCCACAAAGTCCATGGTCTTCCCCTGCAGAGCCCCGAGGCCAAAGGTCAGCGAGGACACCCTGCTGGCTCACAGGGGTGCTCAGAACAAGGAAGGGAGCCCAGGACCAAGGGCAGCCCCTCAGGACAAAGGTACCCAACAGCCCCGCCCTCTCACCAGAGCTCCACACACCCAGGCTCCCTGTCAGCCCCACCCGCCCACACAGCCAATGTCCCGCCCACCTCAGGGGTGACCCTGGAAACCCTTAGCACATCACTGCTGTGACCCGGGCCCCATGCATCAGAGGGCTGCACTCCCTCCTGCTGGAAGGTCTGCGCCCTCCTTTCTCTCTGTGCAGACGCTGACCCATAATGCCAGTGGGTCTTGGCCCCTCAGCCCACGCCAGATCCCGCGGTCACAGCAGCCCCGGCTCATCCCTTTTCCCAGCGACAGCACTCTCTCCCCCCACCCCCCACCCCCAGAAAGAAAGGGGGCTGGACTTACCCCAGGGGTGGCCACCTGCAGGTTGAAGGCAGCGCTGGCCAACGTGAAGCAGTGGAGGAAGGACTGGGCTGACACTCCTGCAAGGACACGTGGGTGGGTGCTGGGCCAGGCAGCCCCTCCTGCCCGAGGCGGCTGCCCAGCCACCCCCGGGCTTCTCCTGCCCCAGGACCACCCGAGGAGGAGCCACTACCAGTCTGGCCCTAGAGGCCTTTCCAGAGGCACAGCTCGGCTCACCCGCTCATTAAACCAGCAGGGCCTGGTTTATCCCGTTAGGGGAGGGAGGGACAGGGCCCCCACTCCACCAGGCTGAGCCGGGGAGGGCGGCAGGGGGCGCGGCTCCTGCCCACGGAGGTGGGGCTGTGGCTCCTGTCACAGGAAGGTGGGTGCATTCCCACCCCTCCTCCTGGGCCAGGGCAGCCTCAGCCCTGTCCTCACAGGAGCCCCTGAATGCCCATGGGCTCCCGCCCCCTTCCTCCCGCGCCATCTGGAAGGCTCCTGGCTGCGAGGGGCTGCGGCCCCACCAGGGACGTCACCTCTAAATGGGCTCGACCGCATCCTTCCACCTGTGTTTCAGTCCTGGGCCCCAATCCCTAAACCCATGTTCCTCTTTATTCACGCTTATGAGTTAGGACATGTTCACTGCAGGAAACCCATACATTGAGCAAAACAGTCTTTCCAAATCACCCCCTTCCCAGTTCCTCAAACCCTTGCTCTCCTACCCCCACCTCCTTCACCCCAGGACCCCAAGGGGACTAGGCGGGGCCCACTGGTCCTGCCCAGAGCCTAGTGGTCCTTTCAGAGCTGTGCTCCCCCGTGTTCTCAACATCCCCCCCTCCTGGCACAGCCAAGCTGGTGCGACCCGCCCCCTCATCCCACTCCAACCTGTCTCCCAGGCTGAGCCCTTCCAATGGCTCCTCCGAGCCTTGAACTCCCATCGGGGTGGGGGTAGGACCCTGGCTCCCGCCCGCATTCTGGGCACAGGCCACTCAGGGCCCCCGGGGCTCAGCACACGGTCACCCCGTGACCCGGTCCTCCTCCTTGGCCCACTAAGCAGTTACACAAGCTGAGCAGACCAGGCTCCAGAGACCCCGGCCCCAACCCTGGTCCTCCACCTGCTCCCGGTGGCCGTGGGCTCGCCACTCCCTCCGTGACGGGACACGCCGGCGAGGACCCGGGAAGAGCTCAGAGCGCACCAGGTGCCTGAATCTGCCCATCCCTTCCTGCCGGCCCCCTGCACCAGGCCCTGCGGGAGAGCGCGGGCAGCACGGGACCCACGAGCCCCAGGACTCTCCAGGTCCCTGACACCTGGGGGGGCCGGAGTCCCCGGTCCCGGCGCATCTATCTCCCCGCCCACCGGACAGTCCCTCTCCGACCCGCACCCTCCGGGGCGTGCGCAGTGAA